GGAGTGGTCATTGCCGCTGCGGTCGTCTGCGTTGCTACTATGATCGGTATCGCCATACATACCCATTTCGGTTAGGTCCGTGAGTTTCTACTATTCCCTACGTTCATGGTAATGGGAGGATCGGTTCGCTGCACTCTTACTGACTGTCGATTGAGTAGTCCGGCCATGGATGCGGAGCAGAAAAAGAAGAATTGGCAATGACTGATTCCTCTCTAAATCAAGGTCAGTACTTGAATGGATATTTTTGAATGGGACCCTTACTTACGACTGGAAGGGCGCACAGAATGTTGCTTCTCTTGAACAGATCTTATCACTATTTTTTACCAACGGAGTTTTCTTGTTTTTTCTGTTTTTGTAAGTTGATCCCCTGCTCTTATTGTAAAGACCAAGTAGCACCACTAAGGAAGTACACATGCTAACATCACTCCAGTTCCCTCATTTGCGAACGATAAATATTCAGTCCAGTAGCTTGAGCCAGAAATGAAAGACTTTACGAACCAAACCAAGACACAAATACATACAACGAATCGTGAACAACTACAACAAATTACGCAGTACCCACCCAAACAAAAGAAGAAAGATAACGCAAACGCCATGCAAGAAAGAATCCCAACCCAATGCAGACTCCAAAGCCCAAGTCCCATCAAATCACTCCACCTCAAACCTCCTCTCTCCTCTGCCTCCTCGCCTGCCCACTCCCACCCTCACTCTCATCCCCTCCACTCTCATACGCAAACCGCGCAATCTCCACCTCACTCCCACAATCCGCCATGCTCCGCGAGCTTTCACCCGTCTGAAAGCTCGCGAGGCTCTCGACCTGTCTCCTCATATTCATGTCGCCCACGACAACACTTTCCTCACTTCCAAGTGCTGTGCTGCCACTCATGCTGACATGGATGGGCATGGGCTCAATCTCCTGGATGGTCTCTGTCATGGTCGTGACGCAGATTTGGCCTTTTGGGACTTCCTTGTCTGAGCGCCGGCTCTTCTTCTTTTTGCTGTCTTTCTTGTCGATGGGGTTGGTGGCGATGCATGAGCTGACAACGCCCTCGTTGTCGGAGATGCCGACGAAGATGCCGTTGGCGTGCTTGCCGCTGTTGAGAGTGTTGACTGGAGTGCCTTTTCCGTATACGTTCGAACGGAGGCGGATGTCTGATGGGTTCCGAGGATTTTGAGGGCCACTCGAGCGTGACCCTGTGAGTCTGGAATCGTCTTCATTGTCGGTGACTGTAACCCAATGGAGAATCAAGGCGGAAGCCATAACGTCGGCGTTGCAGCAGGCAAAGCAGACCCAGCCTGGCTCCTTGCCCTGCATTATGAGAAGTGCTGTGAGATTGGCGATGGAAGTGAGGAGGGTGCCGATAGCACCATAGAGTGTTCTCCGAGCAATTTTTCGGAGTTTGATTTGGTTGGTGGAGGGTGTTTTAAAAGAGTAGAGGTTTGTGAGTGGAGCGAGGAAAAGAGCAGTCAGATAGACATTGATGATTATGTCGAAGGCGAGCAGAGGAATGTTGGAGACGAGCTTCAGACCGATACGGCAGACGTTGTTGCTATCTCTTGCAGCAATACGGCTAGGGCAATTAGTAAATGGTCAATTTTAATGAAAGAGAATCATTACTATACGAAACAGAGAATGATGATGGCGCAATATGGCAGGAGCATGCCACAGGCATTGAACATGTAGAGCCTATCCTGGAGGCGAGGCTTATGCCTGCCCTGGACAATGTAGACCTTCTCCACGAGGAAAAAGTAAATGATAACCTAACACATGGTTAGCGGGTGTGGAGGAACCTGGGATTGAACTGGACATACCTTTGTAGTGAGATAGCAGACTAAGCAAAGCAATATACTAGCTTCACATGCTCTATCACTGCTACTCAGCCCAATGCCACTTTGCAGCAGCGTTGAACTGATGACGAACATCCACGAATCGGCATACACCGCCAATATCACTACAAAGCATGTCAGAAACTGCCAGTTACCATGGACACAAGGAAAAAGGTAACTTACACCACCTAACCAAAGGCAAAGCTTTATAATTCTTAACCTGATACGTCCTGATGGCAAAGCAATAAGACAAAATCGAAGTCGCAGTAAGAGCCAGTGTCAACGAAAAGATGTAACTCCACGGTGGCTGGGTGCCCTTGACATCCAACACAACATCGTGCCTCTTCTCATTCCATATCCCCAATGTCCGGAACCTGATCAACTCGCTATCAGGTCCGCCAAAAGCGTTAGGAGCCATGAGCACTGGTATCCTACAACTGATATGAACTGCGTCAGCAACTTGCGAATCCTCCGGCTCTTGTTCCAAAACTGAATCGATGAACTGATGAAGGCCTGGATCTTCAGATGTATTCACAAAAGGTATATCTGGAAGATCGACTTGGAAAGGTGCTTGACCGTCGGCAAAGAATCTAACGGTGCATTGGGAATCGAGCTTGTAGAATTCAAGGAACTTGAGTTGGTCAAGGCTTGAGCTCATCTTGATCGCTGCCACTTGGGTCCCTTTTGAAGAGATCGACCTCCTTGCAGGAAGCGTCGTCGACAGCAGTGACGTTGAAGTGCAATCGCGACGTTTTGGGTATAAAGGCTCGGACGGGAAACGGCAAGGAGAGAGTGGGGGACAGAAAATAGCTGAGGTGGCAGATCCAGGATATAGTAGACCAAAAAAAAGAGAAGTAGAGTATTCACTATATCAAGAGTAGGTATAGTCTGCATAGTGATAACACAAGATGATATAGGCGGAAGGATGGAAGGAAGGACGGAAGGAAGAAAAGTTGCAAAGTGACAGGTCAAACAAGGCTACAGGAAAGCATGCGAACATGGGAGCATCAAAGAGTTGCAGTAGAATGACCGCGATAGAAGCCGACAAGTCGCAACTGAAAGGCGCATTGATTCACGTACCTGGAGTTTTTTGCCTTGTTGCGGCTGTCCTATGGGAATTCCCTGAAGGACTTTGAGTGGAACAAGCGAAGTCGGGAGAGCTTCGCAGCAGAGAGCCTTAGATGCCTTGCAAAGACGGGCTCTTCAGATACGGAATATAAGGGTCAGCGTCTAAAACACGGAATCAGTTCTCAGATCTCGTCAGGGCCCCAAACAAAGGCTGCCTACCTTTGAAATTCGAAATTGGCCCTATGCAAATTGGCGCTGTTTTGTATCGTATGTTCCGTGCTCCCTACAAGGTCTTGCGAATCTTCTGTAGAATCCAGGGACTGCGAGTCTTGATTTGGGCTCTTGGTGCGAACGCGATGATGTGTGGCGCTGTCGTTCCGTCCTTTGTGGGGATGGGTTTGCAGTAAATACTCGGATCCAGGTTCCAAGAACTGGAGAATGTTGGCTGTCCGACGGGTAGTTGAGTATTGTACCCGGTAATGGTGTTTCTGCTTCCAACAGTTAGCATTGCTATCCTGAACCCAATTGGGCCTTCCTGCCGCAATTCTGAAATGGTACTGTCAATTATTACCTTAATAGAGACCGTTAAGTGTAAACAGTCCCTTGCTTGCGGCTTGTTTCGGCTGACAGCAACGACGACCTTCCTTCCTGGAAGCGAGCTCCAAACGTCAACAGACACCGTTCAATATATGCCGGACCGTTCCCTTCAAACAACAAATATCTCCCTCACACTTGTGCAATCAAGTCTGACAGCAACAAGTAGATCCCCCGCCACAAGTCGTCCCGTCCTCTTTGTCTTATCGTTTGTTGAGTGGGGTGAAGAGTCGGGTCGTATGTGCGTTGTGTTGCTCGTATGATGTCTCGCCCAAACTGAGAAGAACTGACGTTGGGTGCCGCTGTCAAATGGACAATATTCCGAGATCTTATGCAGCTTTTCAGATGTCGTGCAGAGGGAAGTTTGTTTGGTGTCTGTGTCGGCGTATTTGGAATTGGAGGTCGTATGTGGTCGGATCGTTTGTGTGTTGACCCGGTCTGTTTTGCAACTGTCAGTAGGAGTTGCAGGAAGATGCCAAAAGACGGCCAAAGATCGGGATGGAATCGATGTTGTGTGGGTGTAGAACGTGAGAGAAGGATACATACATATCTGCCCTGATGAACCACCTGTAGGTGAAGTCTCGACGCTGATTGGATTATGTAGATCGTGCTTGGTGATGAACGAGTGGTGGAGTTTTGACGGAAACGACAGACTTTTAGTTGAGATGCACTTCCTCTCGACAGCGCCCGGTGCACCTTAGCAAGTCACTTTATAGAACCTTCCTTGAGGATCTCAGCCCTGGTTCCTGGAGAGTTTCTGCAGGTTGCTAAGCACACTTATGCAGTACTAAAATAATGCACCAACGTCCACGATAAAGATTCGAGGTACTAGAGCCCTGCGATGCGTAGAATTATCCAAGATCCGTGCTCGTGGATATGTATTATGTTGAGCTAGTATAAACTCCCTAGCAGGTCGTAGTTCATAAGTAGTGCTCGTAAAAGAGATCGAGAACCCATGGAATCCAGATCCGAAGTTGCTGAACTATCCAAGACAGGGTCAAGCTCCAACCTTAACTGAGCCGCCAAAATGGTGGGGGATTGATTCATAAAATATGTGAATACGGCCTTTTCCCCATGCCACCGGACTGAATAAGCTGGGGCCAAACGATTCCGACCGGGTTGATAAGCAAAGTGTAAGGCTCATTGCGGAGTAGCTAGGCGTGATGTAGGTTGAAGTAGTATGTAGGAGATGAGCGCATATTTCCAGCATGGCATGATTGGCGAAAGGTTGAGACAATGAATCTGCTCAAACTCACAACCTCCCAAGAGATGCAGAAGTTCGCCGGTAGCTTGGCTTGCTAAATCGTGAATGTCTTGAACTCGCATGAAGGGCTCCGGTGAAGCTCGAGGTTGCCATACATCACCGGCATAACAATCTACGCAGGGTGAATCAGACTCGTTCTCTGCACTCGTTCTCGTTGCTTTTACTCCCATTGGGGAGGGCTGGAGAGTTGGCATACCTGAAAATTTCAACAGAAAAACGAGGACAGTGAAGCTAAATCCCAATGCCACCGCCTTCCTTCTCAAAGATGAAGTGTTCCTTGGAACAGCAACCCGTCAACCGCAGAGAGTCGCATTCTCACTTGAAGCGTGCTGCAAATCGCTTCCAGAAGCTGCGTGGCGGCCATGGACCCGAACCCTGCCAATCTTGACGTCCACAAGCTCAGGGCTCTCATCGGTTGTCTTGTTTCACGATGCCATCCACAGCCACAGCTACCGGCAACGTCAAATTTGCGACAGGCAGCTCCCGAGAGCTGAAAACCATTCCGACAATCGGGTCAATCCGAAAACAAAGGTGATTGATGGAAAAGAAAAAAGTCCCGATGGACGAGCGAGGCTGCCGGTCCTGTTGGTGATCTTCCGCATTTCGGGTTCGAGTTTTTGTTGGTGCAAGAAGCCTGAAGGGAAGGAGAAGGAGGGAGTTTTCTGCAAACGGGTTTGCTTCGGCTTCTTCCGTTCTGGCGAACCCGACCCAAACTTTGCATCTCCCAGGCACCAGCAAAGAAGCACCAACCACGATTGGCAACAGCAGCACGAGGCTAAACCTGTCCAAACAAAGCTCATCCTCTAGCTGCATCTCGAATCGCTGCAAGATTTCGATCTCAGATCAAAGCTTAAAGCCGAACGTGGTCAAGGCGCAAGGGGGAACGGACGTCAACGTCTGAATTTTGTTGATGGATCTACAGGCAGGCATACATATTTCACGGCCATCCCCTACATAACTAGGCCATCAAACTTGACTAGTTGAAGTGCCGAAGATTTAGGGAGCGTTTGTTTCAATCCCCATGAGGCTTGCGATAGTTTTTTGCGGGGTCCAAAAAATGGGAATACGAGCCCCTATAAGAAGCTGCTTGAACTACAATTCGAGGCTTCAGAGAGCAAGCAATGCAATGGGTTGGATACTCGTTCCAGCAGCTGTCTGAGTCTTGTTGTGTAGTTTTTATTCCTTTTGCACTGCAGTCTTGCCGGTGCCCAATCCTCAATACTCCCCTCACAAACCCGATCCCCAAAAGGCCACGGACCTCAAGCTGTACTTGAGTACATTTAAGCTTTCCAGCCGTTCCTCGCTCCAAAGGACGTTTGTTCCACTCGTTCCACTCATCCCACTTGTTTCACCCCAATGCACTACCGATTCCACGCCTAACGTAACAAGTAAGTAGCTCTGAGCTCTGAATACGACAGCCTCCACATCCGAGTACACGACAGGACATACACCTTAGTCGGTTCAAATTCCGAGAAACATTCGTATTCGGTCCTTCCGAACTACTCCGATCATGAAGTCTCCTTGAGACAATAAACTCCGCTTATTGACCCCCTATGTTACTGACTGTACAAACCCCACAGAACCCAACCCACGCTCTCCCACCTCCCTCGTGTCAATCCTCGCCTCTCATCCACCTCAATCTTATGTATGTACGCACGCAGCCCCCAGGCGGCTCAGCAGCTCCCAACCGCGCGGACCCAGGCCGGTTGGGAACGCCCGATCGGGTGCGGCTGTGATGGATGCGACTCGACTCGTTTGGGAGGGTGCAGAGCGCGCGGTTGAGTTGGGAATTGATGATCGACGCCTCGGGAAGGGCGTATGTATATTCATTATGGGCTCAGGCTGACGACGGACGATTGCCATGAATTCACTCAGCCGCAAGATTCACCATGAGAAGAGGTAGCGCAATAAATACTTATAAACATTATAAATTCCCAATAACTGGCTACGCAATATCCCATATCATGAATAAGTAAGTAGAAGAAAAGAACAAGAGGAACGAAAAAAAAAGGAGGGATCATAACCATAAAGTTCCCGAATCCAATATTCCCAAACGCCTCCGAACCGGAAGAGAAAAAGAAAAACCCGCGAGTGCTTGACCGCAAGGCGTCCATACATAACAAAAAGAAAGCAAATAACATTACTACGCAGGCAAAAAGAGAGGGAAAGAGAGACACCAAGCACGCTGAATACCATCTCGAGGTCGGCACAGAAAAAAGTGAACGAGGTATCGAATAGACGCCATGGAGCCACGTTGCCTTCAAGCCTCTTCCCATTGACGACTCAACCCTCTCTCGAGCTCCCCTCCATTAGTTGGTACCGAAGCCTCATTTTTCGGCGGTATCTTGCAACAAAAGAATAAACTTTTCCCTCCCGTTCCTTCCTCTTCCCTTCCCATCCCCCATCCCCGGTGGCCCCCCAGTCCGCACTCAGCTCATCCGGCAGCACCACCACCTAAACACTCCCCCCCTCCCTCAACCTCTCCGCAATCCTCTTCCACTCCTTCCTCTTCTTCCCCTCCCCCTTACTCATCATCCTCTTAACCCCCACCACCACCTTCCCGATCCTATCCGCAATCCACTTCTCTGTAACCCAACTGACGACAAAATACAGCAGACCCCAAAGTACAATATCGACCCTCCAATAATTCGGCACATGAGTAAGATCCATGAGATGGAACAACCACTTTGGCAGCCACGGCGTCATGAGATACAACGTCGCTGCCGAACAACCCAAGATCGAGAGGAGGAAAGGAACGTTGTGGATGACGGATTTGCGGTATGGTTTCCCGCCATTCAATACCCAGCCTGTCGCAATGTATTGCCAGCAAGAGACCCAAAACAGTGTCGAATTTGCACTATTTCTAATATTGCTCTTATCGGTATCGACGACCGGTGGGACGTACCACGGTTGTTGCTCGACAAGCTTGTATGCGGCGAACTGGGTGAGGAAGGCGAGGAAGATTTGGGCGAGGAGGGGGGTGAGGCGTTTGCGGGCGAGGGTGGGGTGGGGGGAGGCCCAGCCCATGAAGACTGCGATGGGAAGGATGAGGAAGAGGTCGATGTAGAGAAACTAGAGAATATGTTAGTGTCTATTATACTCTGTAAATCCTATTCCTGAATAAACTTACCTGGAAATCGCCCAGGTTAGAGCCCGATTTATACAGTATACTGACTGTCGTAAACTGGATCGCACTGTACAAACTCATATACTTGAAGCAACTGAAACTCGTCACCAACGACGCTCTGCCCTCTTTGATAATCTGTGGGACACAGCTAGTATCGAAAACTCTTGACGTAAATGGAGCAGCCACAGATGCCTCGGCCTCACTCAAAGAGATACCAACATCCGCCGCCTTGAGTGCACCACAGTCATTGGCACCGTCACCACAGAAGCCAACACAGTACTCAATTTCCTGGAGACGCTCAACAAGTTCATGCTTTTCGTCAGGAGACATACGGGCAAAGATTTGGCCGCGGAGGAGCATGGCTTGAATGGTCTGCTGTGGAGCAAAGTCGATGATCCAGCGGAAGACATCACCGGGGATGGCGAGAGAATAGTCGTTAGTGAGAGGCTTCGAGAGCTCGAGTTGCGACTCTGAAGGAGATGGCGGAAGAGGCGTGAGAGTGACATTGTCGAGCTTGATGGAAGGGTCATCGACAGATTCCCATTCGATTGTCGAGTTTTGCTCCGATGGATCGCCCTGGACGATACGAGGTACGAAAATATGTTCGTCGGAAGAGACAAGAGAACACTCTCTACCAACCGAGATTGCGGTGAGGATATTGTCACCGGTGACCATGACCTTTCTGATGCCGGCACGCTCGAGCTCGTTGATGACGCCCTCAGTTTGGGGCTTGAGCTTGTTCTCAAAGATGATGAAGCCAATGAAATCGAGATCCTTCTCAGCATCCGCGCGCTTGAGCTTGTGTCCACGGACCCAGGAGAGCTTTGGCATGTACTTGGCAGCGCATCCAATGACTCTGTAACCTCTGTGAGTGTAGTATGCGAGCAACTCATCGTAGTCATCTGGAAGTGTCTCGGGCTTGCAGATGTCTCTCATGCACTCTGGCGCACCCTTGACATAGACATAACCACCCTTTGCTCTGAAATGACGGACGACAACACTTGCTCTTCTCAAGCTAGAAACAAACTCAAACTGCTTGCAAATGGCAAGAGCCCAACCCTTGGAAGTATCATCAGGCTCGACAGTCTGTCCTCCCTTGGCCCATGGTGGGTAGACCGCGCCTCTCACACCATCAACCATACCGAGAGGTCCTCCTTCAATTCCGTTTGGAGCATCATTGCCATCAGTGCCTTCGCCGGCAGCACGCTTTCTCTTCATGATTTCCTCGAATCTCCAGTGGGTGAACTCAAACATCTTGACATCGAGTGGATCTCCAAGCATTTCTCCATCAACCATGTTCAGCGAGTGACAGGTTGCCATGGTTTTGAGCATAGCCTCGCGGGTAGTGAAACCTTCACCGTCTTCGAGACCCTCAGCACCGGCGCCTTGCGCAGGAATGAGTTCTTCTGGGAGGGTAAAGAGATCGGAAAACATGTTTTTGTCTTGCTCGACGACACGGACACCGAGCACATCGAGACCATCTTCAGTAAGGGTACCGGTTTTGTCAAAGCAGACGACGTCAAGCTTGCCACCAACGTTGATACGAGTCGGGGAGATACAAAAGATCTTGGACTTCTTTAGGCGGGAGAGGGCGAAAGAGGTACCAATGGTGAGAGTTGCTGGAAGAGCTGGTGGTACAACAATGGTGATCAAGTCCAGAGCTCTTACAATGACGAGATATGCCGGGAGCTATCACCATGTTAGCCGAGAACAGAATATAGCAATAAGCCGAGAGAATATTAGACTGACCTTGAGGTGGATAAAGTTTATCAAACTGGCAACAAATCCAAGAGCAGCGATGATACCCATAACGCCGATATAGCGGAATGAGTCTCGGTAGAACTTGAAGTCACTGGGTTTCGGGAAGAGCATTGACCGAACAAGAGCACCCTTTGTGGTATTGAATCCTGTTCTGACGACAACAGCAACCGACACGGCTTCCTCAGTCCCATCAGTTTGGGGCTTGCGAGAACGGATAATCTTGGTGCCGCAAAAGAGGAAATGCTTTGCCAATGAAGGCGGAATTGAAGATGCATTAAGATCGAGTAATCTCAAGGCCGGCGTGGTGCATGGTCCTTTAGAGACTGGTACAGACTCTCCGGTGAGCATAGACTCGTTGACGATGCAGTCACCGGTAAGGAGGATACTGTCGCAGGGAAACTGAGTAAGAGAGGGATCCGAGACTTCATAGACATCACCAGGAACGAGATCATTAGAATCGACCTGACTCCAGAAGCCATCTCGGTAAACACGAACGGCGCAGACAAAGCGAGACAGTTCACTTAGCCTTGCCATCGTACGCTTTGTCTCTATCAAGGTGGTACCAATAGAAAATGCCGAGATGAAAAAGATACAGGCCGCATAGTAGTAGTACTCGTCGACCGACCACAAGATCAAACTAAAGATTTGGAAAATATAGAAAGGATGGACAGCCTGACTTTGTTAGTAGTGGCTTGAAGTACGGAGAAATAAGGGAGCACCCACCTCATCCATCAAGAGCTGGCCGGTGGTCTTGGACTCGATGACAATATCATTCTTACCAAATGCCAACTGCCGAGGTTCCACATCATCCGCCGAGACACCCTCCCTGAGAGCCTTGACATCTGTCCAAGCGGGATCTTTATAACCCGTGATCTGTATGAACTTATCCTTGATCGGGTGATAGCAGAAGCGGATATACCGATAG